GAAATGGATTTAAAATTGATCTAAAATTGAGAGAGAGTCAACTTCTAAGGAGGGTTTTCAGCACCTAGGGTTTTGAGCTTGGTTGTAAGCTAAAGGAAGGAGACCACTGGAAAAGGGATATTTGAGATTATGGATAAATGGTGACACCAGCTCCCGCAGGAGGGTCTAACCTTGGGAAGGACTACGTTCATATTTTTGTTGGCTTGGAGGAAATGAGGGGAAATTTGGATACAAGGTAATGAGATGACATCACCCCAGTCTTCTCCAGTAGGTAGTACCTTAGTAAAAATCAGGTTTTAGGTCTCAAGCAAATTAATAAGATTTAAAACCACTACTGTGGGCAATGGGATTGGAAATGAATTTATGGATGAAAAGGACAACTCAACCTGATGGGGTTTAATATTCGATAGTAATGTTACCTAAATCAGGTTTTGTTCTGGCTTCTCATCAATAAAGACACACCGAGGTGAGGGAGGAAGAGCGTTTACGTGTATGCCTCAAGCTCCCCGAATAAAGGGTGGCAGAACCTTTTATACTGTCTCTCACATGGAGTACATACAAACATTATGGACTACATAGGTTATCGTGGCATGCAGGCGCACAGTAAGACAAATTGCATTTTTTCTTTAGCATGTAGGCTGGTAAACTGGGCTTGACTGGCCTGAGCCACACCCAGAGCTTTGAGGACAGTGGGCAGGAGGGGCAGGTTCTGCTTTGTCTGAGCAGCTCCCAGTTGAGCCACACCCAGTGCTATCACTTAAGGCTTTGTTTGATAATGGCTAAGCAGCTTCTGGCTGCTTTGGCTATCAGTAAAATACAAAGTAATGGAGGCCCTGACTAGTTAGCACATAATGGGGAGCCTGGAAAATAGGGTACTGAGTAATAAATCAGCAGAGTCTTCATACTCTGGATTTAGAGAATGGGAAAGGCTAGGTATTCTGAATCTGAACCACTGCTGCTTGAATTGAAGAGATTTTGATGTTTTCCTGTAGGGTTTTTTTTTTTTTTTTTTTCAGTTATCATTGAATCGGCTATTTCTTGGCGACCCTGTGAGTGTCAGAAGTAGATTAGCAGGCCTGTCTTTGAAGTTGCCTATGGGTGGACTCTAACCACCAACTTTTCAGTTAGCAGCCAAGCATGTAAATGGTTGCACCAACTAAGGGCAGTTCTTTAAGTAAGCTTCTTAAAATGTTCTTGTTTGACTCTGCCTAGATCTGCAGAGCCCAGCAAATGTGCATTAGTTTTGTTTAACTTTGCCCGTGACTGATGAAACCAAGATCTTGTCCTTTTCAACCTGAGGGTTTGGTAAAATCACTTAATCTCTTTGTAGCTCCATAAAACCAGGATCTTAATGTTTGCTTACTTTATCCTTGTATCATAAACATGCGTTTTTCATGCATCGTTTCTTTGGTTTCTGACACTTTGAAAAATCTACTAGTCTAGGTCTGATTTTATCTTAGCAGCCTTCATGAATAATTCACACTTACTTGTGAAGTCCAGAAGAATTTCTATGGACTTCTTTCCTGACGCACATAAGAACCCAAAAGAAAGGAACAGAGAGGTACAGTGATCAGCTTTTTGCCTAATTTTTCACCATTAGTTCTTCATTATATATATATTTTGGGGTTACATTTCTACTTTTGGACACTAGATGGGACTAAGAGATGACTTGTTTTTCAATAGTAGTAGAAAGGATTTCACAGCCTTCCAACTTTTGAATGAAGTGTTGTTTGCTTATTGAGAAGAATTTCCCCCTATTTTTATCTTCTCTACTGAGATGGCTTTGTTGTTTCTATTAAATGGCAACTTTGATCAATATTTATATATTATTAAAACCTTATTTAAGATTCAGGGAGTACAGGAATGAATGGCCATATGCCACAATATTTTCCTTAATGACTATTTATGGAGAACACCAGTAAAATCAACAGAGCTCATAATGTCCAATGTTCTTATGTTAAAATAACCACTATTGAGTCTGACAGATAATTTAAAAACTGTAAATATCTGTATAGTAGTTTTATTAGATTAGAAAGGAAACATTAAAACAAATATATTTGTTATTTTTTTCATTTTTAATGAAGCCATGTATAAATTAACAATTTTCCCTAAAATAAAGGCATTATTAGTAATAATCTATAACCAAAATGATTGTCTAGGAAAAGATTTGTATAGCTTAAAATAGAGCTCCATTGCCTCGTTTATGTAATTTATAGCAGAATACATCTTAAAGAATTGTATGTTGAAATATTTTTCATGAAAATATATATTGTAGGAAATATATTGATTGCTGTTTAAAGTTAGCATTGACCTAGCAGTACTTATTTTTCTTTTTACATTTCTAAAATAATGGCACACACATTTATTCCTATTATACAGATTAAGAAAAAATTGTGGGGATGGTGGGTAGGAGATAACAAGTGAATAAAGGAATAAAAGAAGAAACCTTTAACTATGAAGTTAAAGGTATTTTCTACTGAAATAAGTTAGGAGAAAAATCATCATTAAATTGGGGTTATATCAACTCACCATGTGTTATTGTCCAGAGCTGCTAACTGGAAGGGATGGTTTGGAAATTGGTGACTATGTGCTAACCTCATTCACTTAGAACATTTCTTAGAAAGTTCTCTGTTTCTTAAAACTCATTAGTTAGATTTCTTTATTCACCAGAAACTCCAACCAATGTTACCTTTCTGGCTTTCTACCTTGTCATTTCCCGGTTTCCCATCAAGAGGGCTGCATTGAGATTTCCCTATCTCTCAGCATAGACTTCACAGACTTGGTTAATAAAACCCCAAAACCCATTGCCATGCAGTCAGTGCTAACTCATAGTGATCCTATAGGTCATAATAGAGCTGCTCCATAGGGTTTCTAAGGATGCAAATCTTTATGGAAACAGACTGCCCCATCTTACTCCCATGGAGCAGCTGGTAGCTTCGAACCTCAGACATTTCGGTTAGCAGGCAACTGCTTAACCACTCTGCCACCAGGGCTTCTGACTTGATTAATAGGACATTTACCAGACTGTTCTGTAGAACTGTGTTCCACATGTTGTTAATGGATTGTCCCCAGAACAGTGTTTCATAATCAAGTATCTGTAGGAAATTCTAGAATAAATGATTTGAAATTAGTGTGTTTATACGATAATTTCACAATCTTTAATATGCTGATGATGGGTACTGTAAATCTTTAAAAGGGTGATGTCAGATGCTATGTTTTTCTGAAATGTTTTGACCCTGTTTTTGTTGTTGTTGTCTGGTTTGATTTTTACTTAAGCATGCCTGTTACTGTAGGGCACACAGATAGAGAAATGTTCTAAATTAAATTTTTATTTTTTTAAGATTTTAATTATATGGTATATCTCCAAATATCTATATATTTTGTGATATCATAACTTCTCACTTCCTTATGTTGTGTTTGCCTGGCAAAATCCCAACTCTGGTCTGAGTCCAACTTTCTGCCTACGTTATGCCTGTACCTGAGCAGTTGAATGTAGTAGGAAAAAGATGCACAACATAGTGGCTGGTCTAATTCACTTTTTCGAATGCTGACCTCAAGTGTGCCCTTAGTCCCTCCCCACAATCCTGCTACAGCTCCCTTGTCTATTCTTCCAGACCATTAAATTTCACACTGCTCCTTTTTTTCTCTCTCAAACTTCTTATGCTTCCTTCCCTATCCTCTCTCTCATCTGATAACCCTGCTACCTATTTCATTAAAGAGAACAAAAGCCAGTCAGAAGAGACTGCCGCACGTTGCACCCCCATGTCTACCCACCTTTCTGATCTGTAGCATAGATCTTCTTCTCCCATAACTGCGGCTGGCGTGCCGCTGCTCCTGTTCTCCTGCACCAGCTTCCATTCCCTCTCACCAACGCAGTTCTCCCCTCTTGTGCATCATCAGTCCATCCCTCTCTGTTGACTTATTCCTGCCAGTACACAAACTTGAGAAAGGGCTTTTATGTGTTTTGATACCTGTTGTATCCCCTGGGCCTATAACAGTGCCTTGAACGTGGTAATTGCTCAGCATATAGTTCTTGAATAAATGAGGTATTGTTTTTCGTCTTTTTTTAACCTTTATTTTGAACTAATTTTAAACTTAAAGAAAATTTGCAAAATAATATGGAGAATTTCCATGTATCCCTCGCCCAGCATCTTCTAAATATTTCCCAACTTAAATAAATAAAACTTCTACTTTGGTGTCAAATGTTCCATTTGTCTTTTTCATTTTATAACCCAAACCAAAAAACCAAATCCACTGCTGTTGAGTTGATTCTGACTCCTGGTGACCCCGTGTATGACAAGGGTTGAACTGCCCCCATAGGCTTTTTTTTGGCTGTAATCTTTATGGAAGCAGATTGAATGAGACATGTTGCTTACTGAGATGAAGAATACAGAGAACAATTTTGGTTAGGAGGCAGATGTGCCAGATAGGCATGGTGCTAAGGAGGCTTTGAAAAAATAGATGCTTGACTAAAGTAAAGATAGCAGGGATGAGAAGAACAAAGTGAGGAAAATAAAGGAGTTCCTTCTCTTAATACCTGGTCTCTGCCATTCTGATGGGTGATAGAGTATATTTGTTTTGTGAATGTGATCAAGCTTCTGCTTTTGCACATTTATTTGCACTTAGCAATGCTAGCATAATTTTAGCTTGCCTGTGTACACACAGTGTAAATTTATAATTCTGAATTTTAATAACATTGTCTTTGAATTTTTGCTAAATTTGAAGTTATATAAAAATTTTTGGAGGGGAAGAAAACTGCTTGGTGTCAGCCCCGTGTGATAGTCACCTAATAAAGATCTTCTAGGTGTTATATATTGGAAAATGAAAGATCCTTTGGTTTAGCAGTGTTTTAGCATTTTTTTTCACAATTAGATTGATTATAATAACGAGAACTTTACGTAATGTGTTCATAATCTCTATTTAACCTTAATTTTTTTATTTTATTACTATTTGTGAATTTATCCTGATAATTAGAATTTTTTAATTTATGTGACCCACAGGTGTGAAGCATCTAGTCCACACATTCATCCAGTTGGTTGGTGTAAAGAACACAGAAGAACCCTTATTACTCCACCAGGTTTGTGTTTATTATGTTGTGTCTGAGAGTATTCACATATTTCAGGAGTTGGCAAACTTTCTCTGTAAAGGGCCCAATATTTTAATATTTTAGGCTTTGCAGACCTTATGGTCTCTGTCATAACTACTCAATTCAGTTGTAGCACAAAAGCAACCTTAGATAATATGTGAATGTGTTCCAGTAAAACATGATTTACCAAAATAGGAAGCTGGCCTGCAGGCCATAGTTTGCCAACTCCTGATCTAGCTCAAAGTGTTTTAAGCAAATGCCTAATTCGTAACAGAGTCTCAAATTTTGTTGTCCTTGGAAAAATAAGAAGTTATGTTTTAAGAGAGCTTTCATTTCTCAACTTGAAATTCATTTCTAGACTTTATATTATTGTGCCCACGTAAATAACGCGCCTGCACATATAACACACAAAATAATGCATGAGGGGGTTGCACGGTTGGGAAAACATATAACACGTTATTTGCATAAAAATACAGTAGAATACATTTAAATGTATTGCATAACCACAGAAGTGAATTGTCTTAAATCTTTGACAAGTATTGACGAAGATATAGGGGACAGCATTTATGGATGGAACATCAACTGCATATGTCAGGTTCAGTTCTGGCAAAAGCGTAGTGTTCACATTTAAGTGAGAATTTTGAGATTTTAAATTCCTACCTAGATTAGAACTCACGTGTTCTTTTTCTTTTTTTTCGGTTGTGATTTCGGATTCTAAATAGATTTTGCACCTTTATGCTAGGAGTACCTCTCTGTTCTCTGAAGTTTTCAGGCTCTTCATCTGTCTGCCTCTGGCCATAGAGCCTTCTCAGCTTATTCACTTTCTCTTTGACAGATAACACCATACCTGCTGATAAATAGTCTGTTTTCTCTCATTTTGAGTTTAGTTTCACGTGTTAAAAAGCAGAGTCTGTGGCTTCATCATAGTCAACACTTTTTTTGAGCACATCACTATTTAAGGTACCATGGCTACTACTGATATGTTAAGGCAGGGTTATCAGTTAACATAAAGCATAAAGTGCACTGTAGGTGGTTACTTGGTGGATACTTACGTGAGTAATGAAGACTATCAGGATTGCAGGGCAGGGATGAGAGAGTTTAGCTTTTCACACCTTTGTTTCACCAGAGTTGTTCTGCGGATGTAGTCTACAGAAAAGACTGAGCTTGGAGCTTCAGATACTTTTCTCACTCTGTTCCAACAGCTGGTTTTATTTTTCAGGCTTGTCCCCAGTTCCTTGCTACAGTGTTTCAATTAGAGTGTCTGATTGGGGGACCTATCATTCATGTGGTGGGCATGGCCAAGTCCCTTCCTCTTTCTGAGTTTTCTCATATGCTAAAGGGAGAAAATCGACTGTCCTGGCTGATTTCCAGAGCTGTTTTGAAGCTCAAAAGAGCATTTACATAAACCCTAAATGTTAAGTAAAGGCAAGATACTATTAATGGTTTCATGGCCGAAATGTGGTGTCGCACTCAGGACCAATTTCCTGGAGGATTTCTAGTGTCAGTCCACCTGTGTCCTCTGGCTTGCATATGTTACAGCTGGTTGATTGTCTATCCCCTCTTTGCCACTTTTACCATCTGAACTGCTGTGTGGATTCTTTTAGACTTCCCAGTTTGGTATTAATCCCTTTTTTTCTCTCAGCGCTATTATTGGCCATAACCAGGGATCTGGTAAATAAACAAAGAACTTAGTGATCAGCAGGTTCCTGGTTATACCTTCACAGCAATCTTTTAGACAGTGGGGAATGGGTGGGGTGAAGCATTGCTGACTTCTTTGTGAGGCAGTCTGACCAAGACACCTGTCCCCTTTAATGAATTTTTATAGTTCAGTAGAAGAGAAAATGTATAGTTTTTTGAAAATTTAAAGAAAAAAAAACAAAATTGTGGGTTATTAAGTGCCACATAATGAGGCTGATTCGCGGGACATGTACTGATGTATAGATCCTCTTAGGCTTCATGATGAAAAAGATGCCCTTTCTCCAGCCCCCTCAGTCAGTCCTCTCCACTGGGCTCTTGCCTTCTGCCTTTTACGCACAGGTGCTTCTCAGTTCTGATCTACTGTCTGAAAAGAAGGGATCCTAATCACCTAGTCTCCTAGGCAGCTGCCCTCCTCACGCTACTGCTACTTCAAGGACCACTCCCCTGACCAGCTCCATGCTAACATTCTCTATAAACCTGCAGCATATCATTCTTTTTCTAAAATTAAAGTCTTACAGATATGTATTTTGAATTATTCAAATCAGTTATACATTAATTATACATTAGTTCATGCTTGTTTTTAGAAAATGAGTGAAAATAGAGATAACCACTGTTCTCCCCGTTAATAGTTTAATAGTTTATCACTGTATCTTCCTAGAAAAACCTTTTGCCCATATGTATGCCCATACATGCATGTGTACATGTTTTATTTATTAAAATGCTTTCTTTTAACTTAAATTGTGTAAGTTATGTTCCTTAAAAATATGTTGTAAAATGTTTGTACTTGCGGAAATATGTCTGCCTATTTTTTTTAAATTTCATTTTGAAACTATTTCAAATGTTGAGAAAATTTATAAGAGTAGCATAAAACACATCTATATCCTTGACTCAGAGACCCATTCAGGTTTTGACAGTTGTCCTAGTGATGTCATTTATAGCAAAAAGATCCAATCCAGGATCAAGCATTGCACTCATTTGTCATAACCTCCAGTCTCCTTCAGTTATGCTCTCCTTGATGTTCGTGACCTCGGTATGTTTGAAGATTACAGACTAGTCATTTTGTAGAATATGACTTAATTTAATATGATTGACGTTTCCTAATGTTTAGACCAAACCCATTGCCGTCGAGTTGGTTCTGACTCATAGCGACCTTATAGGACAGAGTAGAATTGCCCCATAGGGTTTCCAAGGAGCACCTGGTGGATTTGAACTGCTGACCTTTTGGTTAGCAGCCATAGCTCTTAACTACTACGTCATCAGGGTTTCCATGTTTAGATCAGATTATGCATTTTTGGCAGACGTATTTCAGAAGCAGTGCTGTGTTCTTGTTGTGTCCTTTCAGGTGGCACCTCTAAGTATTTTCTGGAGAGAGAACTTGGAGATTGTATAAGTACATGTCCTTATCCCAATTTCACTCACTAGTTTTAGCATCTGTTGATATTTCTAATATGAATTAATTATTACTCTGACAGTTGCTCAATGGTAATTTTTCTAATTCTGTCTTATTTTTATATTTATTAGTTGGCATTCTTCTGCAGAGAATAACTCTTCTTCCTATTTACTCATTCAGTTAATTTACTCATGTCAGTGTGGACTCATAGATTTCTATTTTCATCAGTTGGTTATAATCCATTATTATATTATTTATTTTCATGTCCAGGTCCATATTTTCTCAGATTGGCTAGTGGGAACCCCTTTAAGTTGGTTTCTGTGACCTTTTTATGCGGTTCTTAACATATTTTGAAAGTTCTTACTTCTGGCACAACTTGGCGTATTTTCTAACTTTTCCTGACCCAATCCTGTAATCTGTCTTTTCTCCAAGAATCCGTTGTTCTTTTTGGTGGCAAATAGTATTTAGAAACTAAGATATGGCCACTAAGTGTGCTCACTGCTGCTTCCAGGCCCTCTTAGCAGACATAGTTAGAAAGCATATGTATGTAAATACATACTTGAATTTATATTACTTCATCTCTGTCTGTTTATATATATTGAAAACCTTGAGTTTACGCCATTAGCTTCAGTTGAAATCCAGTATTCCAGTACATTCTAGTTTTTTCCTTTCCATACTTATACCGCTCTTCATAGTCAATGAGAAACCTGGCTTCTCTTATCTCCAATATATTTACTTATTTTCTCAGTCTCTTGTATGTAGCCAATGTCCACCCCACTAGGCCACCATTATGGACTGCCATTAATTCTTGCTTGTGCCTAGCTAATGGATTTTGGGCTCTGGAGGAAACAGAAAGTGGGAGAAAGGACAAAGGATAGTTGGTTTTACACATTCTGTTAATACTGTTCAACAATTTGTTTTGTTTTTGACCTAACAATATGATGATGTATGTGGAACGTTGTACATGATAGTATATATAAATCTGCTTCCTTTTTAATAAATCCTTTAGATTTCATATGTACTATGCATTTTTTGCACATTTCTATAATAATGGTCATTTAACTTTTTTCCACATTTTCACACTTATAAATTGGTGCTCTGTCTTTGCACACATATAAGATTTTTCTAGATTAATACTAAAATTGCTAGATTTAAAGGGTATTTATGGTTTTTGTTTGTCTTGTGTGTAACACTATCCTTACTTGAGAGTATAAATTATCTACATACTATATATGTGTGTGTGTATATACATACCTATATATTTTTCTAATTTTCATTTAAAAAATAACAGAGAAGTCATGATCAAGATGAAGACAGTTTCATTAATACAGATAGTTCTGAATGTGTAACTAGTTTTAAGTTCTTTTGTGTAATATGTGAACGGTTTCCTAGATTATAATGGTAATAATTCAACAGAGTTTTTGTAGGTCGTTTTATGATGTTTACAGTCATTTTGGTTAAACCTCTTAGGATTTACTTTTTTCTTCCTATTTTAGGTTACCCAAATGTGAAACATTTTTCTTGGGATAAATACTTAGAAGAAACCAATTCTTTACCTGCCCCTGCAAGAGCATTCAAAGTGGTGAGGATAATACATTGTACATTATTTGATTAATTTGCATTGAAGATATCATTCATTCATTGACATGTAAGAACAGAAAGATATGGTACTGGTGGGCCAGAATAGGAATGGGAGGGGAACAGAAGGTCAAGTAAAATGTTTTTGAATTTTAACAACTTTGAAAATCAAATTCTTGCCAGGGTCTTTATTGTGACATCTAAAAATTACTTTCATTTTGAACTTTAAAGTTTCTTGGAAAACAATTTTGCTCGAGACAATGTGGGGTAAGTTATTGTCATTTTACAGCAGACCTCTTTTTTTCTAGCTATTCTGGGAGACCAGAGTAAGATAGGAAATTGTTTTTTTTCTTTTAAATAAAAATCATACTTGCTACTTTCTTTGGATATAAATAGCTGGCCCATAAAGTAAGGTATTCTACAGGATTCAGTAAAAATATTTTATACCTTCAGGGGTGTGAGTAATAATCCCCCTTCCTAGCCTGAGTCAATACATAAGGGAGGATTGAAATGTTCCTGTAACTCAGGATAGTCAGACTGTGTGGAGGAATCAATTTGTGAAGAGTGACCTCAGCCTACTCTGAAAGTAGCACAGTCATAGAGATGAAATATTCTATATATGTGTTGCTGAGAACTACATGCTAATAGGAGTACAGTTAGAAAAACCTGGTATTGCAATCTTTTCTATTGTATGAAATTGATGTGAATAGATAGTATGTTAACAGGATGGAAATGTTCTGCATAGAATGTTTAAAACACAGGCCAAAGAAGAATGATTTGTTGGTATTTATCAAGCATTGCCCAGGGCAAAAATCCGATAGCCATGAGTAAACATCCCTTGGATGCCATCAAGTGGATTCTGACTCATGGTGACCCCATGGGACAGAGTAGAACTGCCCCATAGAATTTTCTTAGCTATAATCTTCACAGAAGCAGATCACCAGGTCTGCTCCCCAGAGCTGCTGGGTGGGTTCGAACCACCGACCTTTCACTTATCAGCCGAGTGCTTAAATGTTCAGCCGCCAGGGCTCCTTAAACATCCCTAGAGAGGTTTATACCTTTTAAGGACTGGGACAATTCTTTAAACTCACCCTTGACTAGATGACTTATCCCTCAAATCTGCTCATTTTCCTCTGCTTGGATCTCATGCTCACTAAGGAATATTTGAGTTATTAACATGGCCTCCCAGGTGTAGTAATACTGGGAAGGGCGTGCTATGGTGGATTTTTGCCACCAGAAATAATCGAATCTCTTATTGTCAGTTTAGATAGCAAGTCAGACTTCAAGAGCCGGTCCATTCTGAATACGATCATATCAAGTTTATAGGTCTATAAAACTGAGGACTGCACTTTGAAATGCTCAGGGCTTTCTGATATGAAACCAGGTTGCATCCCTTCATGAGATTTTTATCTGACTCTCTCTAACTTGCATTTTGTTTAATACAAAACAGAAGGGCCTTACACCTGGCTTTGAACTGGGTAAATTGACATCAAATTGCTCTACATGTATAGTGTCATTTATATCAGACACAAAGCTAAGATTTCTCTAGTTTGGCCTCTTAGGTGCCTTGCATTTATTGTTCTGCATTTTTTATGTAATTTTCACAATTAATTTTCAGAGCCACAATTTTATTTTCCCCATTTGACAGAGGTGGGACCTAAAGCTCAGAGAATTTAATTTGGCTAACATCATCAATACAATGGCAATGGGTTTTTTTTCATACAAAGCAATCAGCTTGTCTCCCACTGCCTATAACTTTCTCAGTGCTTGAAGGGTGTCTGCTGCACATTGAGGTAGCTGTAGGTCCTCCTTTCCTGTTCCATCTTGTATGCTTTGATTGCTAATTTCCTTTTTTACAGACATCTTCTGCTTTTTGCCTTCATTGCCATTTTTAACTTGGTGTCTCCTCTGTGTCACATTAATATTCCTCTCTCTTTTAAAATTAAATTTCGGCCTTGTTGATTTTTGCCAAGACACCTCCAACCAAAGAAAAATTTCTTGCCTTCCCTATGACTCATCAAATAACCACAGTGTTTTAAATTTTATCTTAAGGTCTTCTGTTTCTGCCTTTCTTATTTGCTCTTATCACTAGGTGCCTGGCAGTTTCTAGTGCCTGAGGGCGACTCTAGGAACTTGAGAGTTCTAATAGTCTGGTTCTCTAAATAGCTCCTCTTTTTTATTATTCTGTCTTCATAAGAGGGAGACCTGGTGGTGCAGTGGTTAAAGCGTTCAGCTGTTAACTGAAAGGTCGGCGGTTTGAACCCACCAGTCACTCTGCTGGAGAAAGATGTGGCAGTCTTCTTCCTTAAAGATTTACAGTCTTGGAAACCCTGTGGGGCAGTTCTGCTCTGTCTTGTAGGGTCGCTGTGGCAGTGGGTTTGAGTTTGGTTATCTTTGTGACATCGAGTCCACTTTTTGCACTGTCTTTTTCTCTGAATCTCACTATATACAATTTTCTGTTATGGCAGAAACCTCCACATGGATTCCAGAAAAAAATGAGGCTTGAGGTTGTAGACAAAAGAAATCCCATGTTTATTAGAGTAGCAACTGTTGCAGATACGGATGATCACCGAATAAAAGTAAGTCTTCTCTGTTGTGGTGTGTTTTTGTTTTGTCTATTGTTGTAAGACATCTTGGATGGACATTTTTGCAGGTATTAAAATTGCAAAGTCTTAAATTAGTAAAACCTAGGAATATGCAAATTAAGTTGCAGTGCAGTTTTTGTAAGACAGTAATCATCCAGCTCCTTCCATTTTCTTCTGTGTAAGAAGTTTTCTCTTTAAATTATGACTAATGTCATATTTTGAGTATGTGTTTGGGGAAAGACAGGAAATTCAACACATTAAAACAATATTTCATTCAGAAAAATTGTAGTACTTGATTCTCTGACACTACTGTCTTTTTTTTTTTTTTAAACAAAAAAAACTTACTGTTGGTAGGTGCTATTGAGTCGGTTCTGACTCATAGTGACCCTGATGTACAACAGAACAAAATGCTGCCTGGTCTTGTGCCACCCTCAACAATTGTTGTTATGTTTGAGCCCATTGTTGCAGTCACTGTGTCAGTCCATCTCATTGAGGATGTTTCCTCTTTTTTCTGACCCTCTACGTTACCAAACATTATGTCCTCCAGGGACTGGTCCTTCCTGATAACATGTCCAAAGTACGTGAGATGAAGTCTCACCATCCTTGCTTCTAAGAAGCATTCTGCTGTGCTTCTTCCAAGACAGATTTGTTCATTTGCCCTTCTGGCAGTCCATGGTATATTCAATATTCTTTGTCAACACTATAATTCAAAGGCATCAATTCTTCTCCGATCTTCATTAATCACTGTCCAGCTTTCACATGCATATGAGGCAATTGAAAATACCATGGCTTGGATTACTATTTTTATGAAGTGTGTTAAACGTAGACTTTTCTGGAGAAGTGAAGATCAATAGTTTTATAAATAAAATCGGATTGTAATTAGAGTTGAATTTTAAACAGTCAAATCTTCTCATAAGCAAATGTTTGGGAAGGTGGGTTCAGTTTGTTATTTTAAGCATGATAAAGTAAAAATGTAGCAGAGGAATTCCAGATGATGAGGAGCCAAAAGGCTCATGTTTCTGGCTTCAGTATTAACTTCACTCTCAAACCATAACAACACCCATTCTCCTTACTTCGTAAGAGTGTTTAGAGTTTCTGTTAAAAGTAATGGTATTTGTTATAACAGCAAAATATTAGATTTATATAGTGTTTTACAAAGTACCAGTGTTCTCACATTATTTGATATTTGTGGTAACAGTATGGGAGCTTTATATTATTAGTACTGTTTTATCAATGAGAGACTTAAGAGAGCAAGATTAAATCAATTACTTATTAATTGCTGGCAATGGCAAAATTAAGTCTCAGTTCTAAGCTGTAGGAAACTAAGTTTATGTTGTTTTTCAAAAGAAAAATCACATCCTTAGATATCTAATGGGATAATATATGAGAAAATAAATTATAAAGCAGCATCAAAAACCTATAAATGTGGTATTGTTATACAACAGAAGGTTAACATTCAGTTCATATTTTCAAGATTATATAATCATATAACATTTTAGAAAGTTTTATAAATAATGCAAGGCTGGTATTAACAATGGTAAAGTGCATTTTAATGTTAACTGCCTTTGTTGTTGATGGGTGCTGTCAGGTAGATCCAGACTCATAGAAACCCCGTGTGACAGAGTAGAACTACCCCATAGGGTTTTCTTGTCTGTCATCTTTACAGAAGCAGATCTTCAGGTCTTTCTCCCCCAAGAGCCACTGGGTGAGTTTGAAGTATCAACCTTTGGTTAGCAGCCGAGTGCTTAACCTTTGCACCACCAGGGCTGTTTGTTAACTGCCCTAGTTGTTAGTAATGTAAGTCATAAAGCAATCACTGTATTTCAGAATTTGAAGTATTTTTTAAAATAATCAGACTGATAATCAAAGAAATGTAGGATTAAACAAGATATTACTTTTATGAATTGAATTGATCAGAACGGGAAAATGAAAACTTGTTTTGGGTTTGGTGCGTGAAGAGTTTATTTGCATATACTATTGGTAGGAATGTAAAGTGTCTCAGCGTTTCTGAAGAACAGTTTGGCCACAGTTATCAAAAGTCTTAGAATATTGTTTACTCTTTAATTCAAGAATTTCAGTCCTAGAAGTTTATGTTAAGAGGAAAACCAAAGGGAATATTCAAATTAAGTTGCATTTTCTGTGCTATTTCTGGTGCCTATGGGTCTGTGCAGGTGTGCTGGGAGTCAAAGGTAAAATCTCCAAGGAAACTACAGCAGTGCAATGCTGTTTATAGTATTTATCATTGGGAACAACCACACTAGGAGACGAGTAAAATAAATTTATTGTCTATATAATATGAAAATTCCATATTTTAGACCAAACCAAAAACTCATTGCCATTGAGTTGATTCTGACTCATAGCGATCCCATAGGACAGAGTAGAATTGTCCCATAGGGTTTCCAAGAAGCGCCTGGTGGATTCAAACTGCTGACCTTTCAGTTAGCAGCCATAGCTCTTAACCACTACGCCATCAGGGTTTCCAGATACTTCAGAAGAATATTAAATATTGGTAAATGAAAAATTCAGGTGTAATACCATGATGTCTGATATGTTTTAAAAGAATATATGCATAAACAGTTCTGGAAAGAAACGTGCCAAAATAACAGCAATGCTCCTCTTGTGGTGCTGGGACTATGGGTGATTTGAGTCTGTTAATTATTATCTGGCTTCAGGAACATATATTATGAAAAATATTTAGATTCACTCCCCTATTTTGCATGTGAGGAAGTAATGGCTCAGAGAGATTGAGTACTCTGAAGTGAGATGGTTCAGTTAGTTAGTGGCAAAGTTTAGACTACAGTCCAGCTCTTCTTGCTGCTAGTTGAATATTCTCTCCAGTGTAACATCCTAGTGACTTACAGTGGGGTTCCGTTGATAAGTTGGTGCCTTTTTATTTTATTTTTTTTTAGTTTTCATTATTCTTGCCTTTTATTAACCATATGTTTATAAATTTGATCTTTATTTGTCTTTGGGAGTTGAAAACATTACATATTAACTTAGAGATGTATTTAATACATATATAAAGATACACAAATCATAAAAATTTACTCTGATGATGAAGACAAGTTAGACGGCATTGTCATTTAGTCAGTTGTGGTAATAACTCCACTTGTGGAAGATTATGGATCATCTGGATTATCCCTGGGAATGGGGATAGTGTTTCTAGTCAGAAAATTAGTAAGAGTTGCCTGTATGATCCTTTTCTTTTTTTCTTCATATATCTCAGGGTAACATCTCACTGCTTCCTAAGTCTCCCGGTCAACGTTAGCAAAGCGATCGGCCCCTGATTTATTTTAGAAAAAACTTCAGCTAATCCTTTCACTGTAAATCATGACATTGAACATCTACAAGTGAACCTCTGAGAGTGATAATATCAGCAAATTATGTGCATTGTGATTTAGTACATATTACTAACAGTAAGATGTACAAAAAACAGAGTTGTAAGTGCAGTTTGTTGTAACTTAAATACGTCGTACATCAGGGACTACCTGTATTAATATATTTAATTTTTTAATTATAGTATCTTTAATATAGAGAAATAAGGAAGATAATGCTTATTTTCACTGTGAATGTGTTTTAAAGAATATAAGCAGGCATTTATAGTTAGAAAATTTAAGCAGTATATAAAAATAGAAAAGGAAAGGTCTGCCACCCCCAACTACCCTTTAGTCCCTCTCTCTAAAGATAACTACTTATGATTTTTTCCACAAAAAAAAACTATGCACATCAGCGCATATGTACTTTTTAATATTTACATACTATTCCATCATATAAATACAGCATTAGTTATTTATTCGGTCTCCTGATCATGTTAAAAGTGAAATTGATCATCTTTTCATTTGTTTACTAACCATTTATATTTGGTTTCTTGGTTATGAGCCATTTGTATCTATTTCCCATCTTTCTGCTGGGTTTTCTTCTCTTTCATACTGGTATATAAGGATTTTATAAATTAAGGAACAGAATGTCTTGTCACATGCATAACAAATGTGTTTTTGGGGGCTCATTGTGGGTCTTCCAACCTTCTTGTGGTAATATTTACCATTCTGAAATTTTAAATTTTTATGTAGCCAAATTGATCACTTTTTTTCTTTTATGACTTTTAAGTTGGGGGCATTGTTTACAAAAGATATTCCACTCTAAGATGACAAATAAATTCATGCATGCATTCTTCTAGACCTTTTATGGTTTTAAATATTTCAGTTTTATCTATCTGACATCCATTGTCTTGTAAGGAGTAAGAGATTCATAAACCTTAAAAAAGACATCTAACTGGCGAACTTGATTAAAAGGTAAAATACATATAGCATTAGCAGCTTATCCTTTCATCCTAAAAGATAAGTCCCTGGTCCCTAGTGACCATGCCTAAAAGATCAACTGCCCTTTCATGTGGCGGCCAGTAAAGAATGTAGCACTGACGTCTCTTGGAGAGATATGGAAGTTATTTAGGAGAAAAAGGATGATATTTAAAAGTGTGTTTGGTGGAAGTATGTTTTGTAAATTGGACATGTTTCTGGTAAGGCAGTGTTTTTTTGTTTTTGTTTTTTAAAAAAAAGCCTTTTCAGCACCATTCTAGTAGATTCGACCTTACCTCCTCATTTGCCTGCCTCCCTTCCTTCTGTTATATTCATTAATTCAGTGATATTTATTGCACGTTTGGTGTTGCACATGTGAAGATGTTATAACACAGTCCCTGTACTCAAGTTGCTTATAGTATTAAGAGATATATGTAATATATCTGTAGAATTATTGCCCAAAAAATGCCTTTGGCCAGGCCTTTTCTCTCATTATACTGTGAGCAAGGTATGTAAGTAATTAAAATAATTTATTAGCTACTAAATCTATCATGTAATTTCATAGAGAATAAAAATGGTTAATGTGGGCAGAAATTTTACTGTAGGAATTATTGTGACCTGCATTGTACTATTAATTTCCTTTTGTCCTACAGGTTCACTTTGATGGCTGGAGTAGTAGTTACGACTACTGGATAGATGCAGACTCTCCTGATATTCACCCTGTGGGCTGGTGTTCCAAAACTGGGCATTCTCTTCAGCCTCCTTTGGGTAAGAGATACAGAATAACTTTAAAAAATGTTTCCATATTCTTCTTTGGTGTGCTTAATATTTCCTTGCCCCCCCCCCTTCTCTTTCTACTTCTCTCTACTGTGTGTTTTCCTCTCTATGTAATTCTTTTCCTTTTTCTACATTTTTAATTACCTAAAAGTCACAAAAATAAAGAAGGAAAAAAAAAGTAATGCCTGAAAAAGTAAATGGGTATATAACCATTCTGTTACTTTTATTTTAAAATAAATATCACCCTTTAAAATTAGTACTGGATTTTTGGAAGATAATTTAGCGGACTTAACATTTAATGTGCTGATTGTATCACTGTCAGCATCTTGATTTTGATATTATACTGTAGTTTTTCAAAATGTTACCATTGGGAGAAATTGAGCAAAGTGCGCAAAGAATCTTTGTATTATTTCTTACAGAAAATCTACGATTATCTCAATAGAAATTTCAATTAAAAAAAACTTCAGTTTCAATTTAAGGGAAAAAAAGTATACAGAGAACTTTGTGCACCATGATCTCAGTTTTAGAGGAAAATGTGCGCATTATAGAAAAAGATGAAGAAAATGCAATAAATTATTATTAGGGTTTAGAAAAACGTAATGTGCCTCTTGATATAGACTGCTTTCTTGATATAGCAGTGTCATTTCTTGATCCTGGATCCTACGTTTCAAGCTGCATAAGGACACAAATACACATGTAGATGGATGGTGTTCATCACAGCATATTTAAAAGAACAAAACTTAGAAACAGATATTGGTTAAATAAATGAAAGTACACTTATACTTTAGACACTATACAACAGTCATAAAGAATATTGAGATGGAAAGGTTTGTAAGACATTTATGAAGTTAAAAACAAAAGAATGTTTGAGAACAGGACATATCTGTGTTGCCCTTTTTATGTGGCAAAATAAAACAAAACTGGAAACTTGATACATCTGTATCTACAAATATAAGTATATATCTAAGTGATTAGAACAAGGACTGGAAGGGCGAGCAGTCAGGGCTGGGGGAGGTAGTAGAATGTGAGGGAGGAGCAGGAAGGGGCTTTGTACTGTGTTACTTTGTATTCCATTGTATTGTTTGAAATGTTTACAGTGTTCAGATATTCATATATCACTTATGAGATTTACTTGATAAAAATTGTTTAGAATCTTCTCATTAATTAGGATTTAGGTAACTCTGAAATTTGACAATTTGAAAAAGGGTTACATCAAAGTTAACTATTTCATTATTGGAGAAGGATAAATTAGTAGTGTGAACAAAGTCATAGGAGAAAAACCATGAAAAGCAGAAATTGTTCAGATATTTTTAATTTTCATAGGATCTGCTTTTTCTGTATATGTGTTGATACAACAGTTGGATTTTTAAGGGTTTTCTTACTTATTCTGATTCCACACATTTGATTCTTGGAGCCTTCTGGTTAACTTTTTGCCTCTTTTTTTTTTTTCCCCATAGGCCCCTTAGAATTAATGGAAGTTTCAGAACAGAGTGGATGCTTGACACCAGGATGTAAAGGAATTGGCCATTTTAAGAGATCAAGGCACCTGGGCCCTCAGAAGTATGTGCTTGCTGCCACTTACACCAGGATTTGGTCGAATAGAGGGTTTTTGTCCCACATATGTCTAAATTAATGCTTTCCATGCATAATAAATAGATGTGAACTTAATATTAAATTCACATCCATACTAAATGTGGTTACCATGGTGATCATGTAAAAATGAAAGGGAATATCTGTAGTTGAAAATCTTCCTGGGAGAAAATACAGTCACAGTTCCTAAAATAGATTTACTCTAGCTTTCTTGCAACCCAAGTAGCTTTGCGTATACTTAGATTCTGAGATAGTCATTTTGGGTTGACCACTAGTAATGAGAAGGAGATAGCCCTGTTCAAGTTGTTTGTTTGGTAGAATATGATATGATTCGATAACTCGACACTTTGAATAATTGAGATTGCTGTAGACTAGCAGCTGAGATTGCAGAAGCACACATATGAACAGTCAAACGTGAGAGTGCGTTGGTCAGAAAAATATTTTCCAATATGTGTCTCTTATCCCTAAATAACTTTTAAAAAGAAACCAAATATATGCATTAGAAATTAAATGTATTGTTGATGATTTTGGAGGCTTTGTAGAGATTTAAAACCATGACTGAAATACTTAGAAATTCCTGTTACTTAACTGGGATTTTTAAGAAAAATAATTTAAATATTTATAAAATAAACTATTTTAAAACCCCAAACTTTTAAAAATAATGGTTTGGCAGTGTAAGTGTCCTAACTACAGGTTAATTGGGTTGCCCAGTAAGAAAAATGATTCCTTGTTATCTGGTTGGTATAGATTGTGAATCTAGGTCATTTGAAAAATCTGAAGATTGTACTACCTTTTGCTCTAAGAGTTAACAGACATTGTAAATTTATTGTAATTATTTTCATCTGGATATAGTTTACTTTCTTCTCTGCAACCTCAGATGCAGCTTATCTTCCTTTTGCAACACTCCTCCCTGGTTTTTTATGAGGTTCAGTATGTTCCAGAGTAAAAAGTCTGAGTATAAGACAGAATGGTGATTCTCTTTGCAAATATTCATTTAAAAACCCTTTTGGTTGCTTGTATGGCTGCAAGCCAGAAGTTACATGATTAATTTAAACTGGTTTAAAAGCCCTGCATCTTAGAGTTATTAAATATTGGCTACTGATGGCAGCTGGGTTATGTTTCAGACATTCTATAAGTCTAAATGCCAAAAATAATTCAGTAGCATGCTAAATTTCCATTATATATTCATAAGGTCTTTTGTTCAGTAAATATTTTTGAGCAGCATTTTCTTTTCAGTAGTAACAAATATATATTGAACATTTATTTACTCAGTGCTAGGTGTTGTTTTAATTGCTGTAGAAGTATTAGATAATCTATAAAACAACCCTGTGATAAAAGAGCTGTTATTTTCTCTCAGTTTTTAATGATGTCACCGTGGCACTCGAGAAGTTAAGTAATATGCCTTACTTTACAGCTCATGAGTAAGGAGCTGGGAATGGCACCCAGTCTAGTTCTTGAGTGTGTGCCCTTGATCACTTCCCTCTGACTCCCTTCTCAAGGCAGTTTCATTCCACTCCATGAATTAGTCACAGACCCAACCCTCAGAGAACAGACTGATGGAATTATAAAAGCTGTGCATAATTTAAAATATCAGCTGCAAATAATAACTAATAAGGAAACTTTACAATCCCAAGACATTCGTTGGGCGAAAGGCAATTTGTTCAAATTGGGAAGAGAAAGAGCAAAGGATTGAAAAATGGTATATATGTTGTGGGCGTGCAATTGGAGATTCTAAAAAAGTTTGGTCTTCTGGGGGAAAAAAATCACAGTATAGCATTGTCCACTGTTCCTTTTAGGAATGCTTTAGATCTGAGTAAAGAGGCCTGTCTATCCCAGCAAGCTCTATGGTAACAGTGGCATCCTCCCCAATGACCCCAGCTACTCATTCAAGACCACCTTCCCCAAGTGCACAGTGCACTTCTCAGGGTCCCTCAGCTGGGCTGCACCATTTCCGAGAATGTCAGCTCTACCCTGGAATGACTATTTTGGAGCGTTTGTTCATAGATACAGTGTTGTGTTTCTTAAGAGAAGGGAGAAATTATGGGATGGATCATGGAAGATATTATGGAGAAATGTGGTAAAGAAATTCAGTATAATTGGACCCCTTAGTAGAGAATTACTCATTTTCTTGGAATGAGTGAGGCAGAAGTAGACATTTTGACTTAAAGGCATGCGTTGATAAAGAAACTGTATTTGTTTTCTTTTCACTTACAGGCCATAACTAGCAGTTTCTGTGCATTGGGCAGAGTTACTGATTGACTAGGACCTCAGGAGTGAGGGATGCCTTTCACAGAACCAATGGAGGGTGTCAACTCCTACCTGAGTGCTAACTTGTCTTCTCAAGCCTTTGAACTTAGTCTCCCTGCCACCACTGTCCTGTTTACAATGCTCAAAGTTCTTTATGTGGCAGGATATTAATCCTTAGCAGGCACAGCCTGTTTTCCATTTCATTAGGAGACTTGCGGAATAGCTGCTGTGTCATGGATATTCTTTGAAAGGTTCATTTCACTGGCACTTATGTTCGTCCTTGCTGAGAGTGATGTGTTTAGAAAAACATAATGAGAAAATTCTCTTTGGATTAATTTACTGAGAAACAGCATAAATCAAAACATGCATTCTTTGCTTAGATAACAAGGAAGGTTGCTCTTTTAGCAAGAATAATCAGGTTTGTGAAAACATAAGCAAAAGACTGTTTTGACTAGCATTTGTTGTTAGCTTCTCTGAAGATTTCAGTAGTTGAATTTGATCTAAAAAGTGTTAGAAAGAATATGTGTCTCAAAGATGAAATTTGAGGGTTTTTTTTTTTTTTAATGTTGATATATCCACGACAAATGAGAGCGTTGGACGTAATATTCTGATCTCTAGGCATAGTCAGTGGCCAGATTGCTTAATTCTACCTTTCTAGCAGGGTAACATTAATATTAGTTGTGCCATGGTATTTCCCTTTGTTGATTCATTCATTCAGCACAGGGAGAGGTCAAAGAATGGAGGTGGCTTAAAGGAAAACTAAAGCCAGTCAGCTCCAACTCACGGTGACCCCTTGTGTGTCACAGTAGAGCTGTGCTCCATAGGGTTTTCAGTGGCTGATTTTTTGGAAGTAAATCACCAGGCCTTTCTTTGGAGGCCACCCCTGGGTGGATTCAAACTTCCAACTTTGGGGTTAGCAGCCGTGTGCATTAACCACTTGCAACTGCAATTATATAAAAACAGATATTCCACATGTTTAGTGTCATCAGAAAAAATCTTTTCTAGGAGAAATTAAAAGAAAAGTGAAATATTTCTAACAACCTCTAAAGGATATTTATCGAGTCCACATAAAGTTTGAAAAATTTAGTGACTTTGGATAGTGTAATTGTAGACATCATTTTAATTAAACTTCCACCCATCCAGCAAACACCTAATGAGTACCTGCTTTTTGTGCCAAACCCTGGGTTAGGTGACAGGCTATACAGAGGAGTGGGCCCCTATTTTTAAGGAGGCCACCGTCTGGTATAAACCAATCTGCATGGAGGCTTGAATGGAGCACTGTGTGGAGTAGCACATATAAGGAAGCGTCAGCTTTTCCTGAGGGAGGCAGAGAGTCTTTCTAAATGAGGAGGAGTATGGAGTTTTTAATGCGTGTTTATTTTTTGCTGATGTTCTTTTATGCAGTATCTGGTTTGTTCTTAAAGGTTAAGTATTACCATTCTTCACCTTTTTAAATAGTAATAGGTAACATTTATTGATGACTTACTATGTTCCAGGCACTGTTCTAAGTACTTGCATGTTTTATCTCATTTAATCCTCACAGCAACACTATGGAGTAGGCACTATTTTAATCCCTTTTACAGATGAGAAAACTGAAGTTAAGAGAGTTTAAGTAATGTCCAAGATCATACAGCGGCAGAACCAGGATCCAACCCAGGCCTGTATTGCACTTACATCTGTACTCTTAGCTGCTAGGTTCTCATGCAAACTACAGTAGCATGATAATGCCTGCCTGGTGTTTTATTACAGGTTTCTGCCATTAGAAGGGGTGAGAATGATTGTGTGAGCACTCAGAAAACTGAAAATGTCACCTTAGTGTTTAAATAATGTATTTATAATTAAAAGGGTTTTGAAGGTGGCACTAGGGTGCAGTGAACAAGGCAGTCCTTCCATTTTCCCCAATGAGCTAGACCAGTATTTCCTAGGAGAAACAGCTTCCTTAGAGGGGCCAGTGGAAGTATTTGTGTGTGTGTATGTGTATGTGTATACATATATATATGTGTGTATGTGTGTGTGTTTGTGTATGTAGCCCTGGTTGCACAGTGGTTAAGTCTTTGGCTGCTAACCAAAAGGTCGGCAGTTCGAACCCACCAGCTGCTCCTTGGAAACCCTGTGGGGCAGTTCTGCTCTGTCCTGTAGGGTCGCTATGAGTCAGAATCGACTTGAAGGCAACAGAAATATATATATATATAAAACCAAACTCATTGCCATGGACACATATATATGTACAATATGTACACGCATATATGATATAGAACAATGTATAATAGAGTACCCCTAATAAAGTCCACACGGTAGGGAATGGTGTAATCCTATGTGAATCTACCCCTCTACTTTCTAAGGAATTAAATAAAGGTAAAGAGGTGTATGTGTGGGTGTGTACATACACATTACTAATGTGTTGTCACTGGAAACAATACATGAGAAACTAAAAATGATTCTAAGAAGTTTGATCAGGACTGCTGAATTTATAAAGTTCATGTGCAGCTTTAATAAATGTAAATAACTTTGTATTTATACAAATTTTTTCATCACTCTTAACAGAAACTCAGTGCCCTTAAGCAACAACTCCCCATTTCCCCCTCCTACCTGCCCCTGCAAACCACTAATAAACTTTGGACTCTATCTATATGAAATATCCTTTGCATGAGACGTGAAAGACCAGTAATTGGGCACAGGTGGAAGGGGAAGTGAGTTACGTCATTATCCAAGTTGGCCTCTGCCTCTTTCTTATATTAGGTACAGAGTTAGCTAAAGTTGATACACATACTTTCCAGAATATCAGGTGTGCTATCAGGCCAAGAGACAGGAACATAGGGGGACCAACTTCTTTTGGAGGGCAGTACTTGGAATAAAGGGAATTAAAGAACCAATGGCTGCCCTGGACCTGGAGGATCACGGTAGGGAGCGAATGCGCTCCATTGATCCCTGCCTTGGACAATACAGAGGAAATCGTGCAGTGACCATTAATCCATTTCAAAGATTGCATCATATTGTTTCTTAAAATCTAGTGCAAAGAGATACTTTCTTTCTGAATATTCTTAAATTATCTTTCAAAGATAAAATAGTTCATACTGTATGTTTATTTAATCATATATATGCACCTCCACACATATAGATCTATATGATAAATTCATTTAAATTTTGGGATTTTATGTTCTGTAGGCTGTCATTTTAATTGGGAGAAGTACGACTGTTCTAATGGGAATGTTCCTTTCTTTTTTTAATCTTCTAGTTCTGCCACCTGTCCGTATTCAGATGTCAATTTGAATAAAGACCGTATTTTCCCAGACCGTTTAAGTGGTGAGATGCCTCCAGCTAGTCCATCATTTCCAAGAAATAAAAGAACAGACACAAATGAAAGCTCTTCATCTCCTGAAACCAGGTAATTAAAGTGATAATATTAGTGTTGTTTAGAGTTCCCTGATTGACAGAGGTTTTCTTTTTTGATACTTTATGATTTATTTTAGTTTGTTGAAAATGTGCCTTATTTAATGTAAAACGATGGTGGGGATCAGTACTTAGAATTAAAAAAAAAATTGGGCCAGAGGGATTATAAAAGCACATCTAAATCAAGCAGGATTTCCTCTTTCTTGTTCATCTTTTATTTGAACTTGTTTGGTGTCAGAAGTTTAGAAATTCCAGTCTTTTCACTGCTTGCCAGTTCACATTTCTGAATGAAGTACTCAATATTTATGAAGAACCATCCCTTATTAAAAATATGACAGACTCCTTGTGAAGAATGGACATTATTTTGTTTTAGTGCTTGCTGTATGCCAAGTACTTTTTTTTTGTTTGTTTATTGTTGTAGTTTAAATGAAGTTTACATTTCAAGTTAGTCTCCCATACAAAAATTTATACATATATTGTTATGTAACCCTAATTGCTCTCCCCATACTGTGACAACACACTCCTCCTTTTCACCCCTGATTCCCCATGTCCATTCAACCAGCTCCTAACCCTCTCTGCCTTCCCATCTCACCTCGGGACAGAAGCTGCCCATTTAGACTTTTGTATCTACTTGAGCTAAGAGGCACACTCCTCACATGTATCACTTTGTATCCCACAGTCCAGTCCAATCCCTGTCTGAAGAGTTGGCCTCGGAAATTGTTTTAGTTCTGTGTATGCCAAGTACTTTCATATACATTATTTCATTTAATTATTAAAATATTAATTGTACTATAAACCCAGTCGTTTACTTTTGATTTCTTTTGTGGAATTGAGGTAAAGAACTACATTTTGTTAGATACAGCATTAAGTAAATGGTTTGTACTCTTATTTTAGCTGAGGATTCTACTAAAAGAAATGAGTGAATTAGTAGAAAGATGATCTTTAATGTTTAAGTTTTGAAGGTTTTGTTTATGGAGTATGATAAAATCTAAGGTAACAGTTCTCAGTTTATTTTCATGTTTTATAACTTCCATTATTTTGGATGAATCAGGTAGACATTTGAATGATTAACAGTAGTGATTTTTTTTTTTTTTTAGCCCGTAAAACCATGACTAATGTAACATAAACTCATCTACCAAATCGCAGCACCCTAAAATGAGGGTATTATCTCCTGAAGAAATTTAACTTAGGCAAATAAAAGTATTAATTCACATAGTAGTAATTACAGGTACAGAATTCAAATTCAAATCTTCAATTCAAGATTAGTCATCCAGAAAATCTATGTCAGAGAACAGAAAGCACGCTATGGAAGGTATATCTCCTTTCAAGAAAACTTGCCACGTAATGATAAAGAGAAAAACCTATCTTGATCTCAGGGTACCTTTAGGTCAGTTGGTATAACATAGTTCACAAAGATAATATTCTGCAGCCTAGCTTGGTGAGTAGTGTCTGAGATCTTAAAAGCTTATGAGCAGCCATCTAAGATACAACTATTAGTCTCCTCCCTCCTGGAGCAAAGGAGAGTGAAGGAAACAAAAGATTCAAAGAAACAATTAGTCCACAGGACTAATCGCCCAGAGGAACCACAGCCTCTTCTAGCCTGAGACCAGAAGAACTAAGTGGTGCCTGGCTACAACTACTGACCGATTTGACGGAGACACAATAGAAGGTCCTGGTTAGAATGGACTAAAAATGTAGAATTGAACTCAGATTTATAAAAAAGACTAGACTTACTGGACTGATAGAGACTGGAGGAACCCGTGAGTATCCCTCTAAAATACCCTTTAACTTGGAACTGAAGCTACTCCCAGTGGTTACCTTTCAGCCAAATAATAGATTAGCCTATAAAATACTGTATTTTAACACAAATAACACATGCCTTCTGCGTTTGTTTACCAACTGCACCATCTCCCTGCAAGGTATTTTTGTAAGCGCCACTATGCTTTAAAAAAAGAAAAAAGAAAAAATAGGCATAGCGGCGCTTATAAAAATTCCTGGTGGGGTGAGGGAGCAGTTGGCAAACTAACAGAGAAGGCATGTGCTATTTCTGTAAAAATGCAAGAAACAATAACGTCTGTGAGGAATGTGCTCTTTAGAACAGTCAGCTATACGAGACCAAATGGGCAGCCTTTGCCCAAAAGCAAAGATGAGAAGGCGAGGAGGGGCAGGGAACCTGGAGGAATGGAAACGGAAGGCTGGGTGGAAATGGCAAGAGTGCTGACAGATATGCAGGGCTAGCAGCCAACGGCATGGAACAATTTCTGTATGAATTGTTGAATGGGAATCTAATTTGCTGTGTAAACTTTCAAAAACACAATAAAATGTTTTTTAAAAAAAACTAACCTAGGTAATTTTTGCAACTTTTTACCTCAATTTTTTATATTTTTTATAACATATTAAATTAAAATGAACACCCTTATTTCTCACATCAGTTTCAACTGTAATGTTTTGCCACATTTTCTTGCCTCCATACACACAAACACACACCCATAGACATTTTTTTCACTTGAACTAGTTAAGGATAAGTTACAGACTTCTTGATGCTTCATACCTATTCAGTATATATAACCTAAGGAGAATATTATTTCACATAATTGTAATATTATGACCACAGCTAAAAAAAAAAAATAATAATGCCTTAACGTCATCCAGTATCCACTCCATGCTCATGTTTTCCCACTTACCACAAACATGGAACATCCATTGACCTTTTATCTAATGATAGTAGTATCCATTGCAAAATACTGATCATCTAATTCAGCATTTCTTCTACATTATTTGACTATCATTCTGCTTTAATGAAAGGCTTTTCTCCCCTCCCCTGGTCATTTTTAAAATTTGAATAAATAGTATGGACTCTTGGATTTTTTTTTTTTAAGTTACATGTGCTATGATCATTTACAGCCATATATATACACATATGTATAAAAGATATGTGTGTATACGTATATGTATACATATACGTATATGTGTATATAATATATGTGTACGGATGTATGTATAATAGATAATACATATACGTGTATATATACTTCATACATATGTATACACACACACACACACATTTTTACACAGATAACACATGCCTTCTGCGTTTGTTTGCCAGCCGTTCACTATCCCCATGAGGTATTTTTGTAAGCACTGCTAGGCCAAGCTACTCTGTCCTTTAGGGTCGCTGTGAGTCAGAATTGACTCAGTGGCAACAGGTTTGGTTTTTTCGGTTTTGGTATGCCTTTAATTGCTACAGTCCTACTAGCACTGTTTCGGTGTACAGTTATGAAGAAATTTTTTTCCCAGGAATTATAAAAAGCAAAAACAGAACAAAGAAGTTCTTTCTCTTTTCAGGAAAAAGCATGTTTTATAACTCTTGGTTATTTCTGGATATTCTCATGAAGCTGAAATTCAAGTAAACACTTGTGTTCACAGTGCTACAATTTCTCCATGAAGTGAAGCTGCTCTGAAGGGCAGGCAGTTTCATCTCTCAGGCCTTCATACCTGAGGCCAGAGTCTCCTCATGACAGAAGCCAGCAGCAGTTGGTTTGGGTGATGTCTTGGTTTCCTCTGTAGTTCTAAATCCGTGTAAGAAGAGAGTAATTATCATACTGAATCTAACCCATGTTCTGTCTTCTGTTAGCATATGGTTATGGTTCTTCCTGTCATTGCCTGTGATTAAAGAACAATCCCAGTCATTTTAAGTTTTCTGTGAGTCCACTGAAAATATTTTATATCTAAATATTTTTTCATATCTAAATATTTTTAATTACACGTAATTTTAACCTGTACTACCTTTTGAGTCAATTAATTCTGTGCCTGTAACTATTAGTATGAGAATTAATACTTTCATTTGTCTTAAATTTAAATTTCTTCAAGTATTATGCCCTCATTTTTGAAAGCCAAGATTTGGTAAATGAGTTTGTTACATTAATCAGGGTTTTTAAAGACTTTGCTTAGATTTCATCTCATCTTCATCTTTCCAGAGTTAATCTTTTATCTTATTTACTTATTAATTTATTTTTTGTGGCTAGAAGTAATATGAGACGTTTAATTAGTTGCATGCAGTCAAAGGGAATGTGAGGGAAACAATCCAAATGACCCCTAAATCCTGTTTTTAAATCCTGTTTTAAATCTTTGACCAAGACTTTTTTCTTACTGTATTTTTTTAACTGATGTATTTTAAAGAAGTTATAGATATTGTGATAGTTCAACCTCAACACTCCATTATGCATAACTAAAAAATAATATTGTCCAAAACAACATAAATTTATTTCCTCTTTTAAAATTGGTTTCAGATTATTCTTCTCCAGGCAGTACTGGTGCTCACAACAATCAAAATGACACATGGTATTTTAGGTGTAAATGAGCATGGGTGACAAGCATAGAACCACCTAAGTCCTGTTCTCGAGAGTTTGGGGTTGAAGATCTATACAGACGTTCGTTTGATTTAATAGTGTCTTCTTGACTCTCACTTTCTGAATCAGCTTTGGCCAGAGCTACAGTTTTAATATGTAAGAAACATGAAAGAGGTATAATTTAGATTTCCAACTATTTAGACAGAATTCTACATTTCTTCTTACTTCCTCCCACATAACCAAGAAGCAGTAAGGTGGTTCCCACCTTGTGTGAATCCATAGTACACTAAAAGGTTGAGTAGGAAAATAATTGTGAGGCTCATTGAAGCTTTCTGCTTAATTAAAAAGAATGTTACCCTTTAAAGCTTAGAAGATAGTAAGTAATCTCATATTCTTTAAAGTTTTTGTAATTCCTGGCAGAAAAGCAAAACTAAATGAAAATAAATCATTTACAGATATATTCAGAAAACGTTTATTGAGCATTTTCTACATGCCAAACGAGGTACTATTCTAGGATGGTTCTTATTTCTGCTAGATATTTTTCTTAAATGTTATCTTCCTGAGTAAATGCTGTCAAGGATACCAGCCTTTCTCTGTGTAGTAGTTTCCTACTTATAGTTTAGAGCACACAAACCAAAGAGCACTA